TGTTTTATATTGCGAATGGTTAGGATTATTTTACTATATTTTAAAATGTTTATTTAGAAAAAGATAATTATAAGATGATAAGAATTAGAGTAATAAATATTAAAAGCCACACACACACACATTACTCATGTTGTTTTTACTATTTTAAGCTTACAATCAAAATTATTGTTTTTAATATATTTCAGATATTTTCTCAGATTATTATTTATTGTGGTAATTAGTTCGTCGCAGTTTATAGTAAGAAACACATATATGTATAGTAAAAAAATTACTATGTTACTAAATATATACATATAAAAATTAATAAATTACTAAATTACTATATACACATAGAGTCAAAAAACAATGGTTTATTGTTCACTACATCAAAATGATTCATTATAGATCATATAACCTTTCTCACGATAATCTTCAAAATAATGCGGTAAAATGATACAATAGAAAAAGTTGCTTATATTAAAGCTAAATGTATATTATATTAGGGGATTGCATTAAAAGACGCTATTTTTTTTGTATTTGAGCATTAATTTCAATGATAAAATGAATCGAAGTATTTTCCCTCGGAAGCTAGGACTTTTTGTCACTTTCCTGGCAGAAGTTGAATTCCGTTACGAAAGAATGATCTGTCTTTTGAGTTTAATCCATTCAGCAACCCAATTTTCGACTTTGCTACAATTACGGAAGTGTGTATTTTCCAGAGATCATAATCGCTTGATGCCAAGTCCAGAGAATACGCTATGTGCAAAAGAACGTCCCATTCGAGATCCATCAGTATTTATTTCACGGCTATAGCAACATGGGGCCGAACATTATTATATCATGGATATGGTCAGGAGAAGAATCATCTTTCGCGACAATTTGATGCAATTAATGATCGTTTTTGTATCAAATTATCATTCAATTGTTGTTAATAACGCTCGGCGGTAATTGTTTCGTTCAACAGCTCATAATACACGGCACCCTTCATATCCTATCAAATACAGAGTATTGCTTTGTGACCATGGAACCACCACTTTTGAATCGTTGAAACCAGTCTCTACATACTGTTTCCGATGGAGCAAATTCACTATAAGTTTCCGCAAGCAATCGGTGAATTTTAGCTGCACTTTTTTTCAAATCAAAATAGTGTAGAAGTACACATTGGAAAAACAACTTATCGCGTTCCATTTTAATTCAGTTATAGAAAAGCGTATACGGATGGCGTCTGTTGATTGAATTTTAGTGGGAAAATGTTCATACTTCGAAAATGACATAAAGTAACAGATATCTCTGACCACAGCATACACAGCTAGAGTCATCTAAACGTAAACAGCGGCTTTTAATGTAACCCCCTAATATTAAAGCTAAATGTGTACACAAAACTATTGCACAAAGAAAAAAATAGTAAGTATAATAACAAAAACATTAAAAAATGCATAAAACTTCCAAAAAAAAATTTACTTTGCAACCCAAAATTCCTTAAACGTGATAAGCCGTATAGCCATCCTTGGCGCATCCGCCGGCCGATTGAGTAGTCGAGAAGGGGTTCAAATGCGAGTCGTTGCATAATAACAGCGTAATTTGGTAATACATTTACGAAATATCGTAATGGTATACTATTAGTTCACTGTTGGATTACCTATCCTATATAACTTTTTCTATTTCAGCTTGTAAAACATACTGTCAAAGTTTGTACGGAAAATCAAGGGTATCCTCTACATAGAAAAAACAAAAGACATTTATGATCCCGTTGTATCCCTGTAAATTTTAATCCTATATCTCGAAATATTCAGAAATTATTCAGATGGCTCGGAACTTTTGGCGGGTATTGTAAATAGGCGCAATTATATTGTATTAATATTAACAATAGTTAAGCACGCGTAATAATAAATTTAACAAACAAATGTTTCGAATCTCGATTCGATTCCTAGCCGAGATAATATTTTTAGCAATAAAATTATTAACAGTTTTTCAGATAAAATAGTTAATATAAAATAAAGAATATTTTTACTAAATACTTATTAGCATCAATAATTATTAAACTGCTTGTCAATTTAATAAATACATTGTTACTTTAATTCTGCTCGTAATGGAACTTGTTTCAAAATCGAAAATTATTTTGGCGCGCAATATACAGAACCAGATTGTACATAAATTTGTAGGTTGTACAATACAAAAACAAAATATTTAAGCACTAAGATCCTGTTTCAACCGAATATAGAACTTTTCATATTTAATTAGATAATATTAATTTTAGAAATCGCCTTTAAAAATTAATTTTTCGAGATATTGTATCCAATAAAATATTGGAAAACAATGCAACCTACGTTAAGAGAAAGTAAAACCGAAGTTTTATCACAATTTTACTTTAAATAATTTTTTTACAAATTGGAAGCTGTTGTCAATGTGACTAACCGACTTAGGGATGTGTTTAGTAACAATTTTTTGTAAAAGTGTTCGTAAAAAATGGATTATTAATTGCAGATGTTTTTGTATCAATTGTAAACGTTTATGTATCTTAGAGAGTCTATATATAGGTTTTTGGTAATATCATGTCGCTGCGTATGAATTTTTTTGTGAGTGGCTTTTAAAACATATTTGGATTTCTTCGATTTCTTGCGGAGAACCTCGCAAATCAATAATTATCTTCCTAGTCAGTTTTTTTATCGTAATGTAAGTGTTTTTAAGTTTTTATCCTGTAGCATGTCTAATTTTCATGTAATTTTCATAATTTTTTCTATGTACAATTTTTTCTATATAACAATTAATGATTTCGAGTCTTAACTGTCGTATTCCCTTTATCAATCCTTGTAAAGATAAACTTCTTCATATTCTTTCTCATCTTATCAACGTTTCCATATCAGTAATTTTTATTTTTATTTTTTAGACGAATATCTGAAGCAAGAATTAAGGATAATGTCTGTTAAATATAATAAATCGGGACATGAGATATTTTAAAGATATTATATAAACGTTTTTCTAACAGTGCCAAAAAAAATGTCTTATGCATTTTAAAACGTCTCTGGGCAAAATGATATTTTAATTTTCGATAAAATTACAAATCGTTCGATTTGGTTTAATTAATTTTGAGAAATATTAATAAATAATTTGCGAAATAATAAGAAATAATTTGCGAATCACTTTTTTAAATTTGACATCATTTTTATGTGCGAATTGACGTTAGAATTGACAATTATAGAACCGATAAATAACTTATATTGTATAATAATTGACAAGCATGTGAGAAATTGCGCCCCGGTACATATTATTATTATTTAAAATACATTAGGGGAATTAAATTAAAAGTTTTTTGTTATATACTGAAGATGGTCACATTAAGGACCGAAACGTTTATAATTATGTTTATAATTTTTAGTATTATTAAATACACGAGATTTTCGCTACTTTGAACCAGCGTGTGGTATATGCTCCTTCTTCTTATTTTTAATTTGAGAAATATATTTCAAATTGAAACCGCGTTTTTAAATTCGCGAGATTACTGAATATTTCTCAAAAACGCAATTTGCGAGAGAAAAAAATTTTGCAGATTTATTTTATTAGATTTCTATAGTTATTATTATAGATATTTATTATTAAATTTTATATTTATCAAGTATTATGTTCATAATTTTATCGATTATTCTAATCGAAAATAGCCGAATAAGTATCAGCTAAACTTACCCGATGAGAGAAGATCGGATCGTCGATTCAACAACCGCAATGCTGTGTTACTGTTCCATTTGAGCTTCCTCGATTATTCGACAATCGAGACTCATCGAAAGTGATTTGTGTCAGAAAAATGGATGGTTTAATTAATTATTAATTGCAAATTCCAAGCTAAGTGATGAGCACACATCTAACACGATAAAGTTGATATGCGTTACGACGTCGCGTGCCGACTGAAACTGCCGTTGCTCTTCTCATTCTCCAGTGATGATCGAAGGAGTGTATGCAGGCGCGCCTGCCAACGTCGCGGCGGCCGGCGTCGGGACACCGCGCCGCCCGCGCCGCCGCCGTCACCACTACCTTCGCTATATACCACTACCGTTACGCTGCAACCGTTGCCGTCGCGACTGTAACGTTCACCCCATGAACAGCTTGCTAGAAAACGTCGGTCGTTCTGACTTCTGTCCACGTGATATGCAGTTGTTGACCGGTCGTCTCCACCGCCTCCACTATCTTCACCGGTCGACTGATGACGACAGCGACGATAATAACGATAATAACGATGTGAAGGATGATGATATCGGGCGTGTCGAAGGGGGAAACCCGCCGCGTTGGGTTTCGTTGTCGAGGAGACACGATGCAGCCCTCTGTGATCGATCCGTTTCACCCCTTCATATATGTGCATCGCACAACGTGATGCAGCGCATCGACAATAGAGCGAGCAGGACGAATATAATGCTCAGGACAATATGCGCAACAATGGTGAATGCAATAGCATGGAAGATGAGTTGACGCGAAGTCGGTGTCAAGGAAAAGAGTGAGCGCAGTCACTCATATCTAAATTTCTGGTTAGGGTTCACGTGATAGTTAGGTCGCTTAATATATTCATAATTATTAGGAAGGATATATAATTCATAGATTTTCGATCGTATGAGCGGACATCAAATAGAATTGAATTATGCTCTTTAATGAGGATATTTTAATTTTATTTTTATGTGAGCAATGAAAAAAATATTGATTTTGCTTCTATAAAGAGAGTATAATTTCATATTAATCCTATTCTTATCCTCTTTGTCCAATTGATATAAATTTATCTTGTAAGGCAACTATATAGGTATATACATATATTGATGTACGTATAATCAGACTATATGGCGAGAATTGCAATGAAAAACGTACACACTTACTTATTACAGTTTGGATATTTTTCGTAATGGTACGTACGACGATAAATAATCTCCATTTCTTATAGTCTCAGATTTATGCATATTTTTATTACTTAGAGCTAGTCTGTTATTTGCGCACGCGCGCGCGCACATACACATATTTGGATATAAAAATATAATTTCAAATAAATCTCAAAAATGCATGTAATAAATATATTTTATAAATGATAAAAAGCCAAAAGAGTACAAAAGAAAGGAAATTCTCGTTTTTGGACAAAGAAAGGCGTCATTCAAGGTTGTGGCATTTAATTCTTTAAAATTCCATTTCTCTAATCACTTTGTCACTCATGTTATGGTCGGCACTTTCTTTTTCGGACGTTTTGTCATTATTTTCATCATTGGAATTTCTAATGCTTTCTACTCTGTCGTAATCTATTCTGTCATTATTGATATTTGCCTCGATTTTTCGTTTTTCTATTCTCGATTCGTCTTCTTGATTCGACGTCAACTTTTGTTTCTTAATTCTATAGTTATCTTCATTGCTTTCGTATTGATTATTAAGACCCTTTTCTCTAACGTTCTCATACCTTTGCTCAACTGGTTGACCATCATTCTGGGCAAATTTAGCAGAAAAAGTCATACGACGTTTTTTGATTGACTTCTTAATGTTTCCTTCGTCTCTTTTCTGTTGTTGTCCTTGCTTATTGTTGGTGTTATTAATTTTGCTAAAACGAATGACATAGTGCAAATAAATTGATTTTTCTGAAAATAATTTTTGAAAAACAAATATCCATGAATACAATATAGATATGAGAAGAAAAGAATTTAATATTACTCTTTTTTTTTACTTTCTTGTTTTCTATGTTTAAATCTAAAGTATCCATAAAGCATTTTAAGTATATTAAAACGTCCGTATTGTATTACAGTCTATTAAATGTATTTTCGTAACAAAGTTAAACCCATTAAATTGTTGTTTAATGTAAAGAGAAAGAGACATAAAAAGATGAATGTTTTTAGAAATGGATTCATGAGAGGTAGTTTCTTAACTTTACAATTCCCGCAATTTTGTGAGAGAAGATATAAAAGTGTTTTCAAATTTTAATACAGAGTAATCAGTGCGTATTAATTTCATACCAAATAGCTGTGAAAGGATAGTGAAAGGTTTATGAGACTTGCTTTAAAACTTACAAAACAATTACAAAAAAAAATTATAACCAGTATCTCTTTTTAAATGAAATGAAAACCTGTTTTTTCTCGTAAAAGCTTTTGGTTTGCTTTTCTCATGTAACGATTTACAAAGCGATTTTCGTGAATTGCTCTCACGCGTATTTAAACTTTTGGCAGGATTTTGAGCAGGTCGTATTTTTCTTTTTGAAGCCGTCTGTTTGTTGTTCATATTGTGAAAAAATTTATCTCGCGGAATTCCGCGACGCATTGCTTTCCGTTCAGCGATGGTGGTCAAATTACTCGTCTTTCCTCGTCGCGCAATGCGTCGTCTTCGCCGAGATTCGATGTCAGTCCGTCTCCAATTCCAAGATTGTGTGTCCAGAGTTGAACACACACGGAGCATATTACCTTGTCGATTGGTCGGGATCAAATAACCCGATCTGACGCCAAAAGATAATGCTTTACAGATATACTTTCTGGCCTGTCGCTTTCCTGCAATGTGGACGTCGTTGATTGTGCACTTATCATCACTTGTAAAATTTGATCTCACAAAAAGCGCTTTTAGCTCTACAGCAGCGTGTAATGACGTAATACAGGCACACCGAACGAGTCAGTTTACCGTTGATCTACTTGAAACGTACTCATCCGATGCATTTATTCTAGAAATTATTATTACACCTCTTCGCTTCGCAAAAAAGAAAATAATTGCCAGTTTATCACATATAAAGATAAATTGTTAGAAGAAAAAAATATTATTTATATGTACACACACATAGGGTGTCCTGAAATTTGCAAATCATAATAGTTTCGAATTAAGAAAGTTTTTGAGAAGTAAGAATTTAAATATAGAACCAATCACAGATTTAGATGGTTATCTATTCATAAATCGCATGTGCCGTAGTATTACATATGGTAAATATGGTAAACTTCAGCATTTAAATGTAATTTATCTAAAAGTTCATAATTGGTCATATTTGAACTCTTATTTTCTTATAAATTCTTTTGTGCTTAAAGTAAAAATTTACAAATAACCTCTCTCTCTCTCTCTCTCTCTGTGCGTGCGTGCGTGCATGCATGTGTATGTGTATACCCAATTTTTTGAAAACTTTTTTACCGTGTATTTTAATTCCCGAATTTTAGAATATACCGTGTACGTTCATGTATACAATACATATCTATAAATCTTTTTGAAAAAAATTATGTGTAAAATATTTATTTTAAATATTTCTAAATCATTCAATTTGTTTTAAATGAGTTGGAAAGAGTTAATCCCTAATGGAGGTTTAGATATTTATGCAGTTGTTTAATATGAAATCTAATGAAGTGCAGTAATTTCTTTACTCTCTAAAGCTGGATCAGTGGACTAAGGCCCGATTGCACCAACGTGTGATTTCGATTTTAAGCGAGACTTAAACTGTCTTTGTCTCTGTCTTTCTTTCGGCTTTAATACAGATAGATAGAGTTTTAAGTCTTGCTTAAAATCAAGTAATGTTGGTGCAACCGGGCCTAAATAAATGGACAGTCACTGCAGATTACCTACAGTGGTATTGATACTGGATAATCAAAAGTTCAACAAAACAGAAAGAAAGTCTGAGCATTATTAAATTTACAGTACATTATTAAATTTGCACTTTTTTTTCAATTTCAATCTTCTAATATTCATTGAATTCATGCTCGAAAGTCTAAAACAAGATTAGTTAGATCACATGATAAAAGTTAGCTCTCTATACTTATAAGTTAGGGACTCACATTTTATATTTTATGCACTGATTGGTATATACTTGGCATTGCAGCGATATCAGTGATTATCCACTGATTCAGATTTCGAGAGTGTGTGTGTGTGTATGTGCGCGCGTGCGTGTGTGTGCGTGTAAGTCCATTGAAAAATGCACCTTCTTCGACGCCAGCTTTGATGTAACTGTTAATGAGCTGTATTAAAGATCGCTTCCTGAAAAGTGCTTTGGCGCTGTTGAGCGAGTTTGCCAGTGTGTTTGGTTCCATTGAGCCATTTGACACGCTGCTATTCGTGGAGCTTGTCGGTGCTGAGCTATTTGCAGCATCCGTTGCTTCCGTGAGACTATCGATAGATGTAGGCCTAGATACCATTGTGTATTCCGGCATTTGTACAGATTCTGAATCATTGCAGTGATCGACCGCTTCGTATGACAGCTTTTGCCGTTCATCGGAGTTTTGCGTTTTTCGACAATGTGTTTCGAAGCGTTTCGGAGACGAGAAACGTCTTGCGTCTTCGCCAATAAACGTACAAAGGCAACGTTAGATTACAAATTGATAAGATTTGGTTATTTTGAATGGATAATACGTTTTATCGAGTATCGATTATACGTATAATTGTGTATAGAACATAAAATTGTATAAAACAATAAAATACAAGTCATTTTTGTTAGATTTAAGATATAATTGCAATGGTTTTAGGTTGAAAAATTTAACTTATACGATTTACTTAAGGATATAGAGATTAAAATAAATTAATATTTTATTATATATTTTAATTTATTAGTATAAAACAATGTATATAAAGAAAGGCAAAGAACTAATAAAATAACAGACAAATTCAATTTATTATAAACATACGTTTCGACTCCGATTGCCTTTCTTTATATACATTGTTTTAATTTATTACCGTTATCAATGTTAATCATATAATTAATTATGTAATTATGTTTCAATCGTAATACCATGATTGTGTTTGTCGATGGTAAGGAGTTCATAGACTAATTGAGGTATACTGATGGAATCGTACAATTGCCGTTGATTTAGAGTATTAGCGTGTTTACAGCGTACCGATTTAACTCGGGAACGAGTATCAGAATGTATCATTCGTCTTGTTATTCGCTTTTTCCCAGATCGGTCTCTCGTTTTTCTCTTTGACGACGCCATTATTTAATAATGATATTTCTCTTTTACTTCCGACGATTTGCGTTATAAAAACATGCGATCGCATAGTTGGCATGGATTTGAGAAAAAATTGAATGATGCTCTCTTTCGTTATTCTATTTTCACAGAATTTACAGAAAAATAATAAATACATAATAAATTTAATGATGTGTTGAATTTTTAAAATATTTAAAAAAATTTTAACATATTTGGTTTAATAAAAGGTTTGTAAACAATTTAAAAAATATGCTCCAACTTGTAAAAAGACTTTTTCCCTAACTCAATTAGGTATATAAAAACGCTGTTTATGAGATATTTACAAAATTGTTTTGTCAAAGATGTAATGATATTGAATTATTCATCAAATTACAAGTATTTTTGTATAGTAATAAAAAAAATTACAATTATTATACTTTGCATAATTTTTTAAATATTTCCGATAAGTGGTAATAGGAAATAATATTTTATTAATTCTGGCATACTTTCGTGTATTCAAGATTGACTGAACAATAGTTTCTGTAATATTATACTTATAATATTTTATCATGCCCAGTGCATAATATTATCGAAGACAAAAATTCTTACCCATTGAGGATGATTTAGTATAAACCAAAACACGTTCAGGATTTTATCGAATTGTTGAGTTATTAATATTATTATTCTATAGGTAGTAATACTGTATGTATCATTGATGATGACACGATGCCTGCGGGCTTATTGTATATTCGTTGGTAATTTTAGTTTTAATTCTCTAAAGTTTTTAAATACTTTATACAAAATATAATATATCTTACCTATATATTAAAGAAAATTAAATATTTCTTGTTATTTTAAATCTCACAATCAAAAGAAATTATAATCAGGAGTCTAATAAATCTAATAAATGTGTGTGTACTGAACATAATATATTTAGAAAATATAAACAATATATATAATTAATAATTATATAATGTATGTATAGTAAATTCGTATACATAAATTGCTGAGTTATCAACGGTAGATTTTACTGTACAAAGTCGGTGAGGCTCGTTTACATCGATCGGTGGTCTGCTGTATATACATAACCGACGCAACCCTCTGCCGACTACTACTGTCACGACGAAAGCGCACCATACTACTGAACTCATTGAACGACTGAACTGCGATATTAGGGTGGTACCTGGTACTATAGTTCAGTATGGTTATCACTCACAGTTGCTGCAGGTGCAGTTATCATTTGGTTACAACGTCAATAACGTATAGTTATTATACCGAGGCTTCCGATTATCATTACTTGCAACTTACGTGTACTTCCGAATATAAGTCAGCAGCAGCAGCAGCCAGCAGTATATTCCTTCGTTGGCCATTCGTTGGCTCGCGATCAATACTCCGAACGGATAGTGGGCAGCGATTGTTGTCTCGTGAGTGCTCGTGAGTATATCGAGCTTACTCTCGTTGTGTTTCGAGTTCCCAAATGAACGTTTCATCTGCGATATAAATTTTTCACATGTATATTTATTTTTTCGGCGCAAAACAAATACATATATATTTATTATATATATTGTGTACAAAATGCTGCTCTACATAAATATCGTATCTTGCGAAGAACATTATTGTCAGGGGAAATCTCGAGAAACTCGTTGAGAGTGTGATTGCTGTGATTTTTGTATTCTGTTGCGCGTTTAGACGCGCGATAGAACAAAACGGCGAAGATGAAGAGACAGAATGTTAGGACTTTGTCGTTAGTAGTGTGCACATTTACGTATCTCCTTGTTGGCGCCGCGGTATTTGATGCCCTTGAATCGGACACTGAGAAGAAACGCTGGGAATTTCTTTCGGGTGAGTTCTTTATCACTGTCGATGAATATTTTTAAACGAATCGATAATTGATTATTCACTATTTTTCGCTTTTGGTGGGAAATACTATCGCAGAGATTCGTCGTAATATGATGAGGAAGTATAATATCACGCCGGAGGACTACAAGATGGTCGAAATTGTAATAATAGAAAACAAACCACATAAAGCGGGACCGCAGTGGAAATTTGCGGGTGCTTTCTATTTTGCTACTTTAGTATTAGCCATGATTGGTGAGTCACGCTTGTGTGTTCCTTGGTGAAAGAAATTCTCATATTTTTAAGAATTTTTTATATTCTAAATTTATGAATATTTCTGAAGAAAAGCTTGAGATTTTATTCAGATATAATATAGAACGAGAAATCTTAAAATATATTTTAACATAGAAAAAAAATAGAGACTCGCAACATTTCTGGAAAGTGTTTCAATTTGTGTAAAAACTAAGAAATTTTTTGGAAAATTATAAAATTCGAAAAATCCTGAATGTAAATATTTTGAAAAATGATATTAAGAATTTAGAGAAGAATTTTCATCAGGGCTATGTTCGAAAATTGTTTAAATTTTTGTTGTATGTATATTAAAGATTAGACAATAAATTAGAATTTAATAAAAAATTATGTTTTGTATTAAACACAACATAATAAATATATTTTTAACTGATGTTCAAATGAAAGAGAGAGAGAGAGAGAGAGAGAGAGAGAGAGAGAGAGAGAGA